CACATGTTGGAGGCGTGTTAACACGTAGAGAAATACACATGATGGAGGCGTGTTAACACGTAGAGAAATACACATGATGGAGGCGTGTTAACACGTAGAGAAATACACATGATGGAGGCGTGTTAACACGTAGAGAAATACACATGTTGGAGGCGTGTTAACACGTAGAGAAATACACATGTTGGAGGCGTGTTAACACGTAGAGAAATACACATGATGGAGGCGTGTTAACACGTAGAGAAATACACATGTTGGAGGCGTGTTAACACGTAGAGAAATACACATGTTGGAGGCGTGTTCTCACTATTCATTAAGAGTAAAACGCCTAAAAAGCATCCAGTAGCTGGACGGGTGGTTTATAATTATTAAATTAAACTACACATTAAGACGAGCAGCAGTCGAGCGAGGAGTACGATAATTCATAAATCATGAAGAATATGTATATAATAAAACAGCTCTGTGCTCTAACATGGAGCAACAATCAACATGTGGTCAAATGTATAAAATAAGACATCAGCTGTGGGTGCTTTTATTCTGAAAATCTGAGCTGGTGAGGTGGCAGGTGATGAGGAGGGCAGCTGATTGGACGAGGAGGCGACACCTGACCTGTGACAACACTGATACTCAACTTACTGTGCCACAAGACAATTATAATATTTATCAAATTATCATAAAAACTCATCTTTCCAAGAACATCATCTGCGTTCTGATTGGCTGGGGCACAGTGGGAATTGTAGTTCTATAATTAAGGATGATTACAGATGTATAACTTTTGATTATAAGTTATATATTTTACTCTATTTAGATTTATTAAAAGCACCTTTTCACAATAAAAGAATAAAACATGTTTTTATCTGGCTGTAAGACAAGTATCACTGGACGGATTCATCAGGTGGTCCTGAAGCTGCTCTCCTATTGGATGGTGAGTATGAGAGTGTGTGTGTTTGTGTGTGTGTGTGTGTTACAGCTGTGTGGGCCCCCTGCTGTGCGGCCCCCCCCCCGGTGATGTCATCAGGCTCCTCAGGTAGACGGGGCCCCTCCGACTCCTCCCCCCGGGGGGTGGGGGCGGCAGGGTGGGGGGGGACATGAGAGGCTGAACTTCCTGCAACGCCTCCTCCTCTTCATCATCTTCCTCTTCCTCCTTTTCCGTCTTCTTCTCCTGCAGGAATCAGAAGCAGAGTTTCTTTATGAGTCCCAAACCAATCCACCTCAACAGCAGAACTATAGCCGTGTGTCTGCAGCTCATAGAGTCCTGATCCCGGACATGTTGAGACCCCCAGAGTTTAATGATAGAAATGTATAGTTGGGTCTCCAGAACATACATTCTTTCTCAGAATTTAGATTTGTTCGATGTTGTCTTTGTCTCTGTCAATGCAATACACAGAGATGGCAAAAGTACACACATCCTTTACTCAAGTAGAAGTACACACATCCTGTACTCAAGTAGAAGTACACACATCCTTTACTCAAGTAGAAGTACACACATCCTGTACTCAAGTAGAAGTACACACATCCTTTACTCAAGTAGAAGTACACACATCCTGTACTCAAGTAGAAGTACACACATCCTGTACTCAAGTAGAAGTACACACATCCTTTACTCAAGTAGAAGTACACACATCCTTTACTCAAGTAGAAGTACACACATCCTTTACTCAAGTAGAAGTACAGATACTCATGTTTAAAAATACTCTGGTGAAAGTAGAAGTACTGACTAAACTTCTTTCCTCAAGTCAAAGTAAAGAACTTTGAAATGTACTTCAGTAAAAAGTACCCATAACTAGCAGCTGTTTTAAAGAGTACCTGACCTCCCTTTATATTAATAGAACAATAATGTCATTGTTAGCTAATGAATGTTTCCATGCTGAACAACGGCAACATGACAACGTTTCCATTGGTCCCTCTTCTTTAGAGAAGACCAGGAAATGATGGATACACGGATCGTGTTCAAATCAATAGGCACGCAATGACTCTAAATAATAATGATCACGCCACCAAACACACATTCAGACTAAAGGAACCAGCCTGTTTGGAAAATGAGAGAAGTAGAAAGTACAGGTATTCTCCTGTGCCTTCAACATCGTAAGCAAAGTAGAAAGATACAGGTATTTGAGTTCACCATGTAATGAAGTAGACACGACAGGTATCGAGTTCCAACATGCAAGCTAAGCTAGAAAGTAGCAGGCCTATCCTTCTGCAGTTCACAAATCGACGAAGCTAGAAGCCTACAGGTATCTGAGCTTCACACTGTAAAGCAATTCAGAAAGGTACAACGCCGTATCTCTGAGTTCAACATGTAAGCAAGTACAGAAAGTACAGGCTATTTGAGTCTCAACCATGTACACGCAAGTACGCCAAAGTACAGGTATTTGAGCTTCAACATCGTAAGGCAAGTAGCCAACGCCATACACGGCTACTTCGAGTCCTCAACCATCGCTACAGAAGTAGTCAAAGTACAGGCATTTTTGTTCATCACTCGTAAGAAGTAGCAACGTACACCCCGGTATTGAGTTCAACATGTCCGCCCGCCCCCACACCCTGCCCCCGAGAAGTAGAAAGACCAGGTATGCTCCCCCCTGAGTTCAAAATGTAAGAGTAGCACAAATAACGGTCATTTGAGTTCAACATGTAGGAAGAGAAAAGTACACGGTATCATCTGACTTCACCATGTAAGAAGTAGAAAGTACAGGTATTTGAGTTCCAACATGTAAGAAGTAGAAAGTACAGGTATATTGAGTTCCAAAAGTAAGAACGTAGAAAGCTACAGGCTAACTTTCGAGTTCAACCTGTAAAGAAGCCTAGAA